TTTGGTGCAGGTATCCTTCCCCCCCCCCGGCTCCTTCCCTCGATGCGTCTGGTGGGGTGTCAGGGCTAGGCTTCCTGCAGCAAGATGCTGCAAGCTGCTGGGGGTCCGGCAGGCAACTCTCCCCTCCCTGCTCATGCTCATGGTTGACAGGGAGTCTTGCAGGCAGCCCTGCTTTGGCAGCGCAGCCTGAAGCCCTGCAGGCTTGACACTCCCCAAACACCTCGGGCAACCTTTTGACTGTGCTGTCTCTCTTCCAGGTAGTGACAGTTCGGCAGCAGCAGGTAGGTGAGGGGCTGGCCCAAAGGAGGGGAGGGGAGGGGAGGGTGGCAAGGGGGTGTACCTGCCTGGGAAGGGGTGTTCTGGTAGGCATTTGCTGAGCTGGGGGGCAGGCAGCCACTGTGGGTTTGCAGGGCTGCCCTAGCATCCGTGCAGCTGGCTCTCATCCTCTTGTCTTTGTCTCCTTTGCAGAAGGACACTCTGGCTCTTCATTTCACGCAGGTAAGCGTGCTCAGCCAAGGCTGCTGCCTTCATGTCCCCTCTGCCTTCGGGCTACCAGCCTGCTCCAGCCTTGCCCCATCTCCCTCGGCCGGTAGCTGCAGGGGACCATCCCCAATGTAATGCACCTGTGCTTGGCTTGCAGGGGATGTGCTGGCTGTGCTCTTCGGGGTGCTCTTTGCTGTCACGGCACTGGCTTTCCTGCTGTACATCTACAAGCACCGCAGCCAGAATGCACGGTGAGCAATGGGGAGCTGCAGGAGGAGGGGGCCCAGGGGGTAGCACGGGGCTGGAGCACGAGAAGGGGGGGTTAAGGGTGGTCTCTCAGGCAGTAAGATGGGTTAGCAGGGCCTCCCTGCCTGCTCTAACACTCCTCCCCTTTCTCCCCGACCAGGCTGGACTCGCCGACCAAATCCAAGGTCATCTACACAGCAGCCACCACTGAGAACACTGGGTGAGCCCCGTGCCTCTGCGGCGGTCTCAGGCCCGCTGGTTCAGCCTGCCTCCCCACCTGACCTCACTCCCACCCTGGACCGAGGGAGGACTAGTGCTCCAGCATCCCTCGGCTGCATGGGCTGCTCACATGGACTGTTTGTCTGGGGCAGCATCTAGCCCCAGCAGATATTTTTGTTATAAAAAAAAGGTAAAAATGTATTTAAAAAAATAAATAAAGAAATAAAAGCCTCCCATGGTGCCAGCCCTCTCCACTGTCCTTGTGCAAAGCTGTGGGGCCGGAAAGGGCACCAGTGGAGCTGGACCCACAGCAGAGAGGGGCACACAGCAGAGAGAGAGCATCAGCCTCCGTGCCCTGGGCAGTGCTCCAGAGCAAGCAGCACAGGGTTGCACAGCCCAGCCCTGCCCTCCATCACTCTGGGACTTCTTCCTCCTCTTATTTGTGCAAAGCGTTGGAAAAACATTGCAGCTTGGTAGGGCTGGAGAAAGAAAGTGCTGAAGGTGGCAGAGCCACCACTTCCTTGCTAGCCAGCCCCCACCCAGCTGCCCTCTGGCTCTACCGTAGCTGGAGTGGTCCCAGATCCACAGCTGCCTCCCACCTTTCCTGGTGGCTCCAGTAGAGCTGGAGCCAAGCCCCAGGGAGCTCTACGGCCGCACCAAAACCAAGAGAAACAGGCCAGGTCCAGGAGAGGGGAGGAACCTGCAGGTCTCCAGCTCTCGGCAGCCTCCAGCCCAAAGCAGTAAAACTAGAGCCCAGCCTCTGTTAGGATGGACAGAGCAGGAGCAAGACCTCCAGGCAACTGGGATCTCCAACTGCCAGACCTTCCCCCCACCCCAGTCACACCAGCACAAGCCACTGTCACAGCACTGCTGCTGGGTGCTTGCACCTTCCCCACAAGGGCAGCGCCGCTGGCCGCACACAGCCCTGCTTGTCTGTGGTACTTCTTTTTATTGGTATAAAAGCCCACTGTGGTTAAAACTGCCTTCTCAGCCCTGAGCCCGATGGCAGTTTCTTCCTCCCAGCCCTGTGGCACAGCATCAGGGCTGGTGCCTGCCTGAAAATCCCCCTCCAAGTTCAGGTGAGGGCAATGGTCTACTGGAATGGTCCCTTGAACCCCCTTCCCAAGCTGTGCTGGCACCAGCTGCGGGGTTGCATCTCCTCCTGAGCCCTCCACCACCCTCTGTGTCCACTGGGCCCTTTGGGTACCGTCTTCTCCCTGTCCTCTTCCCGTCCTGGGTGCTGTCAGTCCCCCAGCACCACCCTCCCTGCACCAGGATGCCAGCCCACTGCAGCTATGTAGTCCAGTGCCAGGTCTGCGGCTCCCAGGGCAGCGGGGCTGGACAAAGGGGTGGAGAAGGTAGCACCACAGTGGTTAGCCCCAAGCCAGATTGTGGCAGCGCTTTGCAAAGCCACTTCCTCCACCCTGTGGTGAGGAGGCGATGTGGGCCCCCCCAACCCTGGCACAGGGGACAGCACGTCTTCTGCGGCAGGGGGAGAAGTGATGGGTTTCTTTGGGCTCAGGCCTCTGGCAGTCCAAGGTAGCATCCTTCCCAGGCAGGCTAACTGGGGCTCCACTCGCGGCAGGGCCAGCAAAGCCAGGTCCCCCAAAACTGAGCTGTCCTCTGGAGGCTCCCAGACGGGCATCGGAGTGAGCCAGCCCCAGCCACACCAGTCGGCTGGCTGTCACAGCTGGACCCCAGTGCCCGCCCTGCCAGGACTGGCCGGTGTCCCCCAGTCCAGGAGAAAAGATATTGCAGAGAAGGCGATGGCCGCTCTTGCCGCCAGGATAGGGGGGGAGGGCAGGGGTGGCTGGGGACAGGAACATCCCGTGGGGCCTCAGGATCCCGGCTGGGGGCTGGCTCCACTCGGTAGACCTGCAGGAACCAAGAGGAGATGGGGGTCAGTTTTCACCAGACTCCCTACCCCATCCACTTCCCCCAGGAGAGGCAACAACCTGACCACGGCCCTGAAACCCAGGTTCTCTTCCAGTCTGGCAGCCAAGGGGATGACGCCCTTGTTCCAGCTCTGGGGACACCCTCTTCCCCATCCCAGCACCGGTCCTGGTACCCAGATGGACCCGCGGGGTCCCCATCCCCTTTATGGAGCAGGACTTACAGAGCAGGAAGCGTCGCAGGTTCTGGGCAGATCCCCCCGACAGTAGGTAAGCCCAGGCAGCGGCAGCAGCCATCAGCAGGTAGGAGGGCACCAGGCTGCCCACGTACAGGGGGTTGCAAAACGTCTGGAGAGAGAGGCGGGAGAGAAGAGAGGTGAGCAGGCAGAATAGGACAGGGACAGGATGGGTGGCAGCGTCACCGCCTTGACAAGTGGAGCAGGACAGGGGACACCAGCTCCAGGATTCAGTTTGTGAAGGGCCAGCTGCAAGTCCCCCAAACCCAAATTCTTCACTAGTGCCGAAGGCTGTTCCCCCCCCCAGCACGGGGACCAGTACACACCACAGCCGTCCCCGAATATAGGTCCCGGCGCAGAGCTCTGCTCCCAGCTACTCACCGACCCCGAAACAGCGAGGTGCATGACAACAACCGCCGTGATCTCCCACCAGCGCCGATACTCACAGCCGTGGAAGAAGAGGATCCCCCAGAAGGTGTGAAGGAAAATCAACACCATGGTCATAAAAGCTGCAGGGAGCGGCAGAGGGGTGTCAACAGGGAACCACCCGCCCTGACCTGGCCTGCAGGCTTGGGGAGGGATGGAGAGGAGCCGGCAAAGGGGAGTAGGGACACTGCTGGGCCAGACTGGGAGGTGCTGGGGCAGACCCTGAGTGTGGGAGGGGTGGGGGAGAGGAGCAGGGAGGGTCACAGGGGACAGAGAGAAGGGTTTGGCACAGAGAGATGTGACAGGGGACTGTAAGGGCTCAGATGGGTAGAGGGTGCAGCATGGAGGGAACAGCACAGAGGGGAGATTCCAGCCCCTATGGGTCTGCCACCTCTGTGGTGGGGCAGAGATGTGAGCAAAGGGTGCCGGTCGCTCACCTGAGGTCAGGAAGTAGAGCTGCGAGTCCCCGTGGATGCCCACGGTGCCGGGCCCTAACGAGTCTGCCAGGAGATTGATCATGGAGAAGGCTCCGCTCATGAGCCCAAAGCCCACGCCAGCCACTGCCAGGAGAGGGACACCGTCAGGCCCCGAGCCTCCCAGGGCCACCCCAGGCACCTCCCAGCCAGCTTCGGCATGAGAAACCTCCCTTTACCCCCAGCATCACGTCCAGCCCTGCCCAGGCTCACCCCTGGCCCCACGGTTGGGGTGCCCTGCTCTGCGCAGCACTCACCATATGCCATTTGCTGGATGGAAATGGGGGAGCAGCCATCCTCGCTGAGGGCCACCAGCCCCTCGATGGCCTTCCTGTGGGGTGAGAGCATGCTGGAGCCCGGCACAGCCCAGCCACCTCCCAAGGCATGGTGCAGCACCAAGATGGAGCAGGCAGAACGGGGGTCTCACTCTGCACCATCCTACCCTCCTGGTAACCTATCACCGAGCTGCAACCCCCACCATGGTCAGCATCCGCGTGACCGCCCTGAACCACCAGACAAACCAGGCACGTGAAAACCACGCGAAGCCACATAGAGAGATTTTCCACAGAGGAATGCGAGTGCCATCCAGCCCCGCAGAGCAAGGCTGGGGTGAGCGGGACATCGGGTGCAAAGTAAGCAGCACCCCCGCATGGAAAGCGGCCCCAGTGCAGGTGTGTGAGGCACATGCTGGGAGGGTGTACGTAATCTCCACATTTATACTCTTAGAAGATACTGAAAAAAAATAGAGGGTGTGCAGGGCAGAGCTCAAAGAGCTAGCAAAATTCTTTGGGGAGAGAAACTGGGAGAGGTGGGCTTCATAATTTTTATCATAGAGGTGTGTGGCGGGTGGGGGGGACGCCAGACGGCTCCTCAGCCCGGGGAGGACAGCAGTGCTTGCAACCGGAGATCCGCAGGTCAAATGAAACGCAGCGGTTTGTGTTAGAGGCTGCTCCGCGGAGCTCTGCTACCCTCTGCCTGCCTGCCTCCGGCAGTGCCCTGCCCCACGGAGCGGTGCG